CTTGTTATGTTGGGTAAATACTTAAAGGTAGGTAAGTGGTAGGAATATGCCAGAGTTAAGCGAGTTACAGTTAAATGGCTTACGTTTTTATTTTATGATGAAGTGAGTAGTGTTTCTTTGATCAAGGTGATTAAATCACTCTATGGAGCAATAGTGAACATTGTAAGTTGTCATCAAAAAACAATCACGTTTCCCTACATACAATTAGCCGGTAATTCAGTTTGACCAATTGTAGAAATTTATTGATTTCAAAGTGATATTCATCAGTGAATAATATCATTTGGAAAATTGTTGAATACCTGTTTCGCCCTAGTATGTGACTCCTCAATATCATGAATTCATGACCTCATCGGGGATCGAACCAAAGACTTTCAGGTCTTGTAGTGAACTTACTACCATTGACCTCCAATTATTTTACTTGCTTCAGATGTGACAAAATCTAACGATGAAAGATGATTGTTAGGAATTGGCAGGATGCCAAAAGCTTAATTTTTTCACTTGTTGGCACTCATCACTAAGGATTGTCGACAAACCCAAAGGAATTGATGTACTTCATGACATTCGAACACAGAGTAGCCATGATTGATGTTCTAAAGGATTGGATTAAAGTTGTTTATCATTAACTAGAGAATGAGCAGTTTCATTTTGTCTAGTTCTGAGTGCTAACTGAATTCTGTCGATGATTTTGTAATGTGGTCAACGGGCTAAGAACCTCATCATCTAAAAATGTCACTTATTGATATTAAGCGTATTGTCTGACATCCTTGAATATTCTTCTTCTGGCTTTAGAGGTACGCTGAGAATGCCTTTTACAAGTGAGTTTTAGTATGACACTTAAACTGTTTATGGAGATCCCGTTGGCATATGATTATTATTATTTGTCCCTTGAGTTCCTAGTGGAACATAAGGCTTCACTAGCACGTCTCCAGTGCACTATGTTCTCTGCAAACTTTTGAACCTGTCTCCACGACAGCCCACAAGCTCTTATTTCTTCTTCACTGACACGGTCTCCTCCATGTCACCCTCAAACACTCTCACCAAACTTGTCGTTTCCCATCTGGGTTCCACTTGAGGGCCTGGTCTGCGCGTGATATCTACAGTCAGCCTTCTCAGTGTATGCCTAATCCATCTCCAATTCCTTCCACTGCATATTTGTTCAGCGATAGGTTCTTGCTTCGTTGGTTCATCGCCAGGATAGGTTCCTTGTTGTTTATTCTTTCTGACCATCTGAGCTTCAGTAACGAGCTATTGTAGGCATTTGTTAATGAATATCTGTTGTTTGTTGGGAATGCCTTTCGTAACGCGCCAAGTTTCTGAAACATATAGCTGCACTGACTTGACTGACATTAGTGTTGAAAATCCGGATGTTGTTCACGCTTTACGCTGAGTACAGAAGATCTCCATAATGGTTTCAGGTTAATGAACGCCTATCTTGCTGTCTCTCCTATTCTGGCTGGCTTTGATGTCCTCGTCTGTGCCACCTGTAGTTGAAACGATGCTTCCTAGGTGGGTAGGTGAAAGAGGCTACTTCTTTTAGGTTTCTCCCGTTAATGGTGATTGGAGTTTGTAATTGTTGTTGTTGTTCGCGTTGGATGGGTGTCATCGTCACCACTGTCTTCTCTACGTTCACTTGAATTCCCGTCTTCACTGCCTCACCTCTTCAGTCAACTTATTAGTTTTCGCCATAGATCTTCCAGTTTGTGTGACATTAGACACAAATCATCACTGGCGAAATCCAAATCTTCTAGGATTTTCTCCGTGGTCCAGAGTATCCCCCTCGTCTCGCTCTTCACTGTTTGTTGCATGGTTCAGTCTACCACGTTCAGGAATATCATGAGTGATAGTAGGCAGCCTTGTTTTACTCCTGTCTTTAGTTCAAAGGCATTACTTAGCTTTCCACTGTGAATTACTTGGCATGTGGCGTCTTCATATAGTTATTGAATGAGATTCATAAAGGTTTGTGGTATTCGTAGTGTTGAAGCAACTGCCAAATTAATTCTCTGTCTACGCTGTCAAAAGCCTTTTCAATGTCGATGAAGTTGAGGTGAGGTAGAGAGTTGACTTCCACTCTATACTCTGTTCTATAATGATGCGAAGCGTTGCAATTTGGTCCGCAGATGATTTATTCTTCCTGAACCCAACTGGTCTGTTCCTGATGTAATTTTGAATCCAGCGTATCCTTTAGTCTTTCCAGGATGATGCTGCCTAATATTTTGCTTGGGGTGGATAGGATCGGCAAATGATTACTCATTGGAAATTATTGTATACCATCGAATTTTAACACATACTTGTGTGTAAATGCAGACGTATGTTTTTGTATAAGAGATCATGGTGAACGATGAGCCTAGGGATGCTGATGAGGTAATTACGCGTTCTATACATAAGCTGAGGTTAATTTGTTGAATCTTATCGCCTTGACAACTACCTGGAAATTACTTCATCTCTGGAAATTGAAATTAATGTTCAGTATCAATCAGTCACTTACTTCTAAATGGATTAGTTGAAATTTTATTGAGATGCCATGATATGTAGGATAAATCAATTCATTTGTCAAGATAAATTAAGAATCGACCGAACTTGGGGAACGTGGTCGTCATGACACTTGGCCTACATGAGTTCAATCTCCTGCAAGGTCGTTGAGATGCACTTCCGAAGTCTATGGTATTAGTGAAAGAAGCAACAAGACGCGTATGAAGGAAAAAATGTTTATTCTTAACAAGTGGGACAGTAGTTGCTAAATATGTCACACTATGCACTATAAAAACGTCATTTCCAAAAAAGCTTTATTTCTTATTCTGCTTCCTTATTGATTTCCTCTTCATGCGCCTGCCTTTGCTCTTGTGTTTCTCTTGGCGGAATCCTTAACCATTTCTAGTAATTCCCTCTGATTTTTGCCACCCTCTAAACATATACTACTTATAAGTAGTATTCATCATGGACTGTGAAATCAGTTGGGGAACCATTGGAAATCTGGGAGCACCAAACACCTGTTTCCTCCTAGTATGGGACTCCTCAGCAGTTTGCACCCACTACCCCACCACGCATCGAAATCATGACCTTCAGGTTTCACAGCGAACGCGTTAACCATTCAGTCACTCGGTCGGTTTCCAGTGTTTCACAATTTCCAACTTCTCTCAATTCACGATATAACGCGACTGTCACCCAAAGTCTGCATTCAGCATCCACTTCACTTCCGACTGGTTGACCCCACATGTCATTACTTCTCATTACACCTTCGTGATATCCATCTGGAAGCAAGTCACTAATCAGCCCTACACAGTAGTGTATTTTTGAGATGAATGGGGATTTTTTGATTTAGAAGTAGTATTCATCATGGACTAACATCAGTTGGGGAACCACTGAAAATCTGAGAGCACTGGAAAGCTGTTTCGTCCTAGTATGGGATTCTCCAGCAGTACGCACCCACGACCCGGCTAGGGATCGAACTCAGGACCTTCTGGAGGAGTCTCTTACTAGGACGAAACAGCTGTTCAGTGCTCCCAGATTTTCAATGGTTCCCCAATTGATGTCAATCTATGATGAATACTACTTCTCAATTAAAAATCCCCATTCATCTCAAAAGTATATACTACCTATGTCCATTCTTATCAGCAACGCGTAAAACTCTAGGACGATTCAGCTGTTCATTACTTCTAGGTCCCCTGTGATTTATGAGAGTAACACTGACCATTTATGTGACTATTAGATTAGCATTCATGAAAGTCAAGGTTCGGAAGTATGCAAAAACGGCAATTAACCAGAAATGGAAAATAATCATCGCAAACTGTGTGACTGACAAGAGCTTGAAGGGTAAGCTGAATAGTGTTCAGATCAAAAATTGAGTTTTAAAAGGGAACAGCATGATGCCATGAAAGTTTGCAAATATTTTATCGTAAACAACAATCACAACGGTAATCCAAGGTTGGCAGGTGTGCTTACTGAATATACAGATCTGGTCTAACTTTTCAATGACTATCACTTCAGTAAGACTTAACATTCTTGAATTCCGAACGTTTTCAGGCTGTCAGCATGTCTAGACGTCTAATGTCGCACAAACTCGAAGATGTACAAGTGGAAACTAACAAGTTGGTAGAAGAGGCAAAAAAGATCGGACTTCAGGTAAACAAACGTAAAGAAAATAGAGGTGATAAAGATACCCAAACAACAACAACAAGCCTCAATCACCATGAACGGAAGAAGTGTTGAGGAAGTTGTCTCTTTCACCTACCTACCTAGGCAGCATCATTTCAACTACAAGCGGTGGTGGCAGCGGCGGCACAGATGATGATATCAAAACCAAGATTGGAAAGATGGTAAGATAGGTCTTCATCAATCTAAAATCAGTGCGGAGATCTGCTCCCCTCCACTTTACTGCTCTCAGCATAAAGCGTGAACAAGATCCAGATTTTCAACACTAATTCAGTCAAGTAAGTCAGTGCTTCTGTGTGATGATTCAAAAAACTTGGTGCATTATGGAAAGCATTTAAAACAATCTACAGACACACATCAACACCTGTCGTTTACCCTCACTCCATACTGAAGATCAGATCGGGTGAGATGTGAAGGCGAGAAAGCAAGAATTTATAGTGCAACAAATATGGAGAGGAGGATAGTGAAGATGAATTGAATTGGGCATACACTGATAAGACGATTCGGGGACATGACGGGCAGGTCAAGTCGTTGAGTGAAACCCGAATGGGAAAGTAGTAGTTGAGTGTTGGAGGGTGACATGGAGGAGATGATGTGAGGAAGAAATGGGAGCTTGTGGGGAGTGGTGGAGCGAGGTTGAAAGACTGCAAAGATGAGAGTGCAATGGAGGCGTGCTACTGAATCCCTATGTTCCACTCGGAACCCAAGGAAAAAATAATACTGAATAAATAATTAATTTGAAAATCAGAAAGTATTCATTAAAATCATTGTTCTGTTATACAATTGTTTTCTTAAAAACGAAACTCCTATTTGATACATACATACACACACACGGAGATACATTCGCTTACCTTATTCATTGCTCCAATACTTCGTGATCCAGCATCATTGAACATTCTTGAGTGTAAGAGTAATGCACGTAATGCTAAGTAAAGTCGACCTAACATTGGTAAAATTAACAGTAAATATGGACTAAAATGATCATCTAAATGATGAAGTGGATGATTTCGTTTATAATTTATGAAATTAGTCACTGGGAATTGACGATCATAGAATAAATCAATACCAGGAAAGGGATGAATTGAGCAAATAAATAACTCTGTAACAATTTGTATAACTCTATACTTTGTTACACATATTCGCCAGTCTTTTGTATATTCTTCGCATAAAAATACCTAAAGTAAAAAAAACAGAGAAATTTTAAAGAATTTTACTATTCAACAAATGGAGTGAGTTTAACACTTTTCTTGTTACTGTGCGAAATACGAATGGTATAAAATGTCATACACTTCCACTGAAAACATACTCAAGGTCATAATTTGTATGAGTCACTGTTTTCGTTTAGTTACTGCCATCTACCCCTAGTTTTGCATAGCTTTTGCTTGCTGTTTTGGCCATGACCTTGAAATAACCAATCATGGCTGCTTTCACATCTATACTAGTTTTTCTTCCCTCTTTGCTCTCAAGGCTGAACTCTCATTGGTTGTTAACTAAAGGCGGATTGAGTATTGTCAAGGTCATTTAGAAATGTATATTTTCAGCATCACTTTCAGCTGTTGTTGTGACTGGGAAAAGTTCTCTATCAACGGTTTGTCCTCTCTTCTTATCTTTGCGCTTTGGCAGTATTATTTTTGTGATGGCTGACGTTTTGATTTGTGTTACAGTCGATTTGTTTGCACGTAAAGTTCGTATTATTCGTAGTCTCCTAAGCTGGTATCTCTAGTAGACTGTTAGGTCGTACAACCGGTCAAAGCAGTTACCTATGCAGCTTACGCATAAGAGAGATCGAGTTATCAATTTGATACTGAATCACTTTAAGAATGAGATAAAACAGTACATTGATTCGTAACTAGGAAGTAACCAGCTTCATGTAGTCTAGTCCTAAGTGGCAATCGAATTCTGCAGATCATTTTGTAATGTGGCGTTCAAGCTAGAAGTTACTATGTTGGTTATGAGGGGTCGAGTCTCAACTGTGTTCTAGGTCACTTCAACATCAAAATGTATATTCAAAAAAACATTCATTATGAGCACTGGGTAAGATGGAAGTCAGGTCTGATCCATTATAAGGTGATAAGTGTTCACTGCTAATAAGTCCCTAATTAAGACTGAACAGCTTTCATTTATCCAGTTTTAATCTTTCATGAAACTGGAAGACAGTGTTGCCTAAACAGAAATCAACATTATAAGTCATCAATAGCTTCAGTAGAAGTTTTTGTAATTAAATTTGTGTTTTATGTCACTGTGTGGTCTAGAAAAACCTTATTGGACAATTTTTCCTGTGGTTGACCAATGAAAATAAATTAGCTTTTAACCTGGAGGTTTCAAAAGATCATATATGATACATTTTTGCCGAATAAAGCGAATCACTTATTATCATAGGCCAGTCTGTTTCTCTGCTATCTTCCTGGCTCAATGACCCTTTTAAATGTCAGAGTGTTAATTTTAGCCTTATGCGTGAACAAGATGGACTTGTATGAGCTGCTTGAGTCCCGTGACTCTTGTGACAGTATTGATGGTATTTCTGCAGAAAGTAAATCGAGTGTTAACAATCTTGGGTTGAGTTTTACTTTTGATATTTCTTAGCCGTCTCATATCTTGTTGACTTGTTAAAAAAGACCTTTCATTGAACATATTACATAAAGAAACTGAAGCTGTGTGGTATAACTCAACCTCTGCTTTTACAACTTATCAATTCCTGCATTTTATCTATTCTTCTCTATTGTTCCCCGTTGATCTTTCCTGGTCTACTACTAAATAAGGACTACATGTTATATTGCATAGGGTGACAGTAGGGCGAGTGCTGCGGCTCTGGCTCAACTGATGAACACTGTAGTTGATAGACAAACTCTATCAAACAGATAGCTACAGTAATTTTTAATTGATAATGAGCATCCACTTCATTCATAACTCTCTCCATGCATCTCCTCAGAGAGGACAAGGAGAAACTACTTAAGGCTGTACGCTCATACAGCCAAGTAAAAGAATTCTACTGTACTTTACCTAGCACGCATATTATGTGAGGAGAAAAGTATTAGAACAGAATTCACATATCAGCTTTGTAGTAGCTACCAATCTCATTTCAATGTTCTTTACACGACTTATATTTTTCTCATAATAAGACAATTCGAAATGTTGTAAACGAGTATGTATATACATGCACATTCATATATTTTGTTGTTATTGTTGTTGCGATATATCATGATGAGAATTCCAAACTGTGGCAAAAATTATTGTTATTGCTTGTTTGACGCCGTCACTGATTGAACAGAATTGATAAGTCTGTGTTGGTGTATAGGCTCCTGTACGGATGCCTCGATATGGCCTGTTTTTTAATTATGTATAGTAATGATGGGTAGAACGTCGCCGGGTTAACTAGTTCACTAGTTACTAGCCGGTTCTAAGCCCAGGTAAAGAGGGAAGGTTGGGCGTAGGGCTAGTTACCCTACCCTGGAAAACCAATCCAACCGCTTAAGAAACTTCAAGCCACAAACAAAATATAAAAAATAATAACAAACTTATTCCTCGCTAGAATCCGGGAGACAAAATGACGCCGGTTGGTGAAAGCCTTCGGGAAGCCAGCTGGCCGATATGTCTTCTCTTCTCTTGATGAAAACGAAAGTAAACGTGGGGACATGGAATATCCGCACCATGTGCAAACCTAGCAAGGCAGCCCAGATTGCAAAAGAGATGAGAAGGTATATCATAGAAGTGCTAGGAATCTTCGAAAGCAGGTGAAATGGAAGTGGAATCTCCAAACTCTTAACTGCTGAGTCAATAATCTACTCCGATATCGTCACCACCAGCACACGAGCACACTGAGTTTTCGAGTGTGCTATCACGATATTCACAAGAGAATCGAAGGTTCTCAGGTAATGGGAACCAATCTCCTCCTCCAGGATCATAACAGCAAGATTCAATTCAAAAGGAAGGAAAGTCATTATCATACAATGTTACGCTACGCACCTATAAATATTGCAGGTGAAGAGAAGAAGGAGGAATTCTACAGACAACTGCAATCTACACTGGACAAGACGTGAGTTGGTGACATCAAAATTCTAATGGATGGGGTAACATGGATGCCAAACTGGGAGCTGACAACACAGGAAGAGAACTAACCATGGGTAGAGAAGCGCTCGGTGAAATGAAGGAGGATGGAGAATTGTTTGCAGACTTCTGTGCCTTCAACGATTTGGCGATTGTAGTGAGGCAGTGTGTTCAAGCACAAGGATATCCACAAAGCGACATGGAGTTGATTTCATCAGATGGACACACTAAAAATCAGATCGATTTTACCTCAGTCTCAAGAAAGTGGAGACGCAGCCTACTTGACACAAGGTCAAGAAGAGGAGCAGATGTAGGTTTAGACCACTCATTATCTAGTGCAAGGAACCTACCATCAAAATCAAGTTGAAAGCCTTCGAGGAAGTTGGTGATAGGCCATAGTTCAAAGTCTACATTCAGAACAGAAATTGAAGGACGAAACTACAAAGAATATCTTCATGTCAGCCATCAAGACAAAATGGGAGATATCGAGTAACATCCCTGAAGAAACCTGTGTGGATGAACACTGGAACTCTATGAAAGCTATGTGGAAAGAAACCTGCACAACCGTGTTAGGAAGGAAGAAGAAGCAAGACAAGACAAGGAATGGATCTCGATGGACATATGGAAGCTGATAGAGTAGGGAGAGGAGGATGGTGAAGCAGAAGACAAACCAGTGCAAGGATGAACAACAAGAAGAGGAAGTGAGTACAATGTGTAAAACACTGGATAAAGAAGTGAAGAAGAGTGTGCGCAAAGACAAAAGACACTTCCACGACGCATTGGCAAGTGAAGCGAGACAGGCTGCAGGTAGGAGAGACAGAGACCTGACAACATTGTATCAAATAACCAGGTTGCTATCAGGGAAGAGATTAACACAAATGGAACCGATAAAAGATGATGAAGGAAATTTAGTTACCAAAGAAGGGGAACAGAGGAGACAATGGGCTGATCACCAGGGCTCGGGAGCTATCGCTTCAAACGCGGGAGCGTTATCTACTACACCACTGAGCCACAGATGCCATCTCTTGTGGAACGGCCATAGTTTTAGTGGGAACAACATCACTCACTGTGAGACAGGTACATCCAGCTGACTGGTGAGTCCCAAATAGGACGAAATGCACATTCTTGATTCCACTGCTAGCCACTATCCATCATTACCAGACATAATTAAAAAACAGGCCATATTGAGGCATCCGTACAGGAGCCCATATGCCAACAGAGACTGATCGATTCGATCCAATCAATGATGGTGTCATATAAGCAAAAACACTAAAATTATACCCGTCGCACATGAATTAGCTATTGTGGCTCCGTGGTGTAGTGGTGAAGCGATTGCTCCCGAGTCCGAATCCCGGTGGGAATAACATCACTCAGTGGTAGGCAGGTACATCCAGCTGATTAGTGAGTCCACTGTTAGCCACTACCCACCATTACCATAGCAAATATTGTTTTGATTCATATCAAGTTTTATCGCATCTCTTCACGTTAAGATTATTCGCCTGCTTCTTATGATTCACTCGATCACTTCAGAAAGCTGTTGAAATTCTTTAATGAATTGAAAATATTGATTTATTTCATTGTATTCAACCTACCACTTGGTTACATTACAATATGGTGAATGGAGCATGTTCGAAATGCAGCAATATACCACTTTTAAAACTACATATATTATCAGTTTCACTATCTGAGATAACCATGCTTCAACAGACTTCTATTGATACTCGGTGATGAATGAAACTGAAATGAAAAAGTGGGCAGCAACTATGTTTGAACTAGATACATGTGGATTATTGGCTCAGTGCTGTAGTAACTGAGATACAAGATCTGACTGTTGACTGACTAGATCTTCATTACACTTCATTCACTAAATAATTTGCTAAACTGACATGGGAATTCATGATGCGTTACTTCCACTTGCTCGTACTCGTACTGGCTGCCATCAGTCAAGACTTCTCATTCCAATCAAATCTAACTGAATCAGAGACAGGAGTTGGGCATTATACTGATTATCATTTTGATTATCTAAGTGAGATAGCTGTGGTTTCATTGACTTTTTCTTATCCTGATTGATGATTGAGGAAGAAATGTAAATATTCAATGTTTTTTTTCAGTGTTTCTCATTTTCAAAATCCTTTTTACGGTTTTATAAGCCTCTTCATATATGAACTCACTTTACAGGTCACTAGGCATGTTGGTTTACTTCAAATTTTTATCAACTTTATTCTGTTCTAGTTTATATTCTATTTGTAGTGATTATAAACTACAGAAAAATTACACAGTTTTTCGCTTTCAGGTGATAGAAGTAATTGTTAGTTTCCTATATGGAGGGATATGTGCTTGGTTAATTAGACAAACATTCACAGGAAATTACATTGATAAGTTAATTTTCTTCCTAGACTGTTTTATACTGATAAAATCTTCTACAATATTGAAGCATTTATTAAACATTCTGTCTTTACTACTTTTTGAAATGTTAGTTATTGAGAATGAATCTGGAGAAAACCCTTGAATTAGGTTCCGTACTTAGGGGGACTCATCAATGAGGCATGCCTGAAACCACAAGAGGAATGGTGTTCTCATAGAGGCACAAACCATCATTCTGAGCAAAAGTTAGAGACATTTTCACTAATAATGGACAGAGGAAACACAAAGAACGTCAGAGAATTCCTAGAAGCTTGGCATTCCACTCAGTCAGCAATCAATGGATGTATAGACATAGACCCGATCTATCAACCAATAAAAAAAAAGATAAACGACAGAAAGGTGGGAGGTCAAGCAGATGAACAGCCAACTGGAAAGTCTATACAGTCAATGATACAACAATCGAAGAAAACAACTAATCACAGACCATATCGTCAGAGTAAGCCGCTAAATCACTCACGGAGAGATACTGACAGCTCACTTCAAATTGGCGTTAGTGCTGATGATGTCACTGTCTAGAAAGAGGATGAAACCTTCACGACGATTAAACAACCCAGCTCAGAGAATACAATACAACCAAGACATTTTCACTAGTTTACTGAGGCTCTGGCTGAGCCCCTCTACGAATTAGTTGCGTACATGGAGTGGTTACTTGTGTGGAAACTAAGTCATTGACAAATCCTACATTCTAAGCATTGATGGAAATCTATCGATAGGCACCATTTTAACAGTGATCAATCATGCTCAGTAATTAAATGTAAAAAGTATATTTTATCCTAGTCTACTTAAGGACTACGAATAGGGTTCAAAATGCGTGTCTCATCCTATTCGAAGCTTGGATATACCTGAGCCTCAGTGAATGATTTTGTTCCCACTGTGACTTGAATTCAATACCCATCTCTTTAAATGACAAATCGTTAACCTCTAGGTAATTGAGGCAACAGAAGTCATCACTTGCGCAATGAGTATCAGTTTTTGTTTATTGATATTGTTAATTTCTCGTTGATTTATTGAATCGAGTGGCTAGATCTTTGTTCTTTTGACACTGTACAGTTAGGTGTGCCTTTTAACCTAATTTTCCCTTGAATCAGACTGAAATCAAGGACTAATTACTTTATATAGAAGCGTTATTCCCTAACCTAAAGAATTACCACTTACATACTTGATCCCATAAGTATACGTTTACATGATTGACGTTTTAGGTCCTGTTTTTGTAGAAAACAGTACATATGGCGATTCGAAAGCATATATTCAATGCTTACTACTTAATTTCCTCTGTGCTAAACTGAATGGTGTGGTGAGAACTGAGAGACATTGTGAAACTCCATGTTCCTCATCTGTGCTTTTAGACCTACTGACTGTCGTTTGGATTAGTAAGATATGGATTCTCCAGAAAACTATCTAAATTCTTAACGAAAATGAGACATTCAAATATGGTTTTTATAATTAGGTGATTTAACTTAACAAGCCGGTAAACTAAGTTCAACAGGAAAGTATATAGGTGGTGCTTTCGGAATCTCAATCGATTAAACAAATAACTAGGATCACCAGCCGCAACTGTGGTTAAGCAACCACGCATTTCTGGCCCACCTAAAATGGCGTATATAAACCTCAACTTAATGTTGGGCAGAGATAGACTATATTGCTATCATTTGTCTCAGATGACTGGTGGAAGGTTACCTCTCTTTCTGAAGCACAAGTTTAGACAGTAGTCAGATGTTGGTCTCACCACGTACAGGCCAGTATCTAAATCATGGCAAGATCATTCTGAGCGTTGTTTTGCCGATCAGAATACTAAGACTTCTTTTTATAAGGAGTTAATTAGACAGTCACTGCAAAAAGGATAACGTCACTCTTCTAGAATAAATCAGGTGCTGACCAGCAGTTTGCTGTGAAAACAGGGTTAAAGACTATAGCTGACTCTGAGAAAGTAGTTAGAAGGGGTTAGTGGATTTTGGCAGATGAGGAGCTGAAACAACTCCAAGGGATAACGAAGGTATATGGATTGCATTTCTATCTGTATACCCCATGACTTTAACACCCTTTGTGTTGTTGAAAAGAACACGATGAAATGCAAAGTACTGGTTGTGTTCTGGACTAAATAGTCACATCATTTATCCTCTGTAAGCTAATTTATGTACACAATTCAGTCTTAAAGAGGATCAATCGAGGTTTGAATCATTTCAGTAGCCAAGTTTTTGATTTCAATACTGAGTGACAAAGGTTTGCTTGCACATGCACCTTACCGATGAGTATCAATGCGTACGAAGTCAAGGTCAAGTAGGGCTTGTTATCGATTGGCTTATACTATCTAAGAGCAATATATAGTGCACCTCGGTGTCATGTTACTTCACTCAATGGTCGCATTGGAAAACTGGATCGATTGGCCTAGGTCGGTGATAAGCACTGGGGACTAGATAACTACTTGGTTTACCCACTAGTATTCAACCCCCGAACAATGTTATTTACTATTCAAGGATTCGACCAACATATTAAATTCCTCTTTCATGTTTATCTATATCATTTCTATTCAAAAACGTACAAGAATTCCCAGAGAAATGTAGTCGTTTATCGCTAATCTCCAATACTTGGCAGAGAAACACCACTTTAATTGTAACTGTAATCAAATCGAATAAATTACCATGGGATGAATTCTTATTCGATGATACTTGACGTTTGAAGCGGTGGGTACACGGTTCGAGTCTCAATGGGAACAATATAATTCAATGAGGTGCAGATACATTTAGCTGATCAATCTCACTTCTAGCCGTAACCAAGTCAATTATAACATGAAGTGAGTGTTCTAGTCTGCATTTTAGTCTTATTATATTGGATCCTTTTCTTTTCCAGTATTTGTTCACGCAAACTGTATAATTATTATGGTTGATAGACAATGGTAATTGTGATAAATTATTTATTTAATTTATTGTTTTCTAATTCATTTCTACTCGACTCTAGTCTGTTCAAATTTCAATGAAATAAATGAATTGAACATTGAAAATTTCCAGTTGGAAAGCATGAAAGAATGAAGAAGAAGTTTAAATAGGGTATTCAATGATTCAATGTATGCATGTGCGTCTGTTGAATAAAAATAGACTTACCATAATATCATAAGTATGATAAGAGATGATGAGTAGAAGAAGGATAACAGTTGAAAAACTGATCAGTATACGCATAATCATTGAATAGATACTGTTCTAGAAAGAAAGGAAAAAAAGTGAACAGAAAACAAAGTCAGTCGAGAGGTAAACAAGAAAGAGACAAGTTAAACTTATCTACTTTTCTATACTAGAGATTAACGATTTAGACAAAAGGGATTTGTAAATAGTTCTTGAGAAATCATTCAATTGAAAAATGGTTTTTACATCGTATGCTTACAATAAATAACAATCTGGAAGAAATCATCAGTCTGATGTATAAGTAATCCAGCCTAGTTTCTAGAAGCTACGATGGAGTCTCAACGATATACCAAAGATCATACTAAATGTACATTCTGTTATAAAGTAGACATTTCAGTAGGATAACTGAATTTACTTCATGATATGTGAATCTAGAGGGTTGAAAGTATTGATGAGGGTTATACCGAAAGGAGGTAAGTCTACACAGGATCCTACTTTCACTTGCTCCTAAATTAATATCCATGAACCCTCTTTGTGAGTAATGAATTGTTTCAATCATGCAATCTCGACTAAGCTTGAATTCTGTTGACTGTAGTTAACGCTCTTTGTCATGTCTCTTGTTAGCTAATTCATAGGTGCACATGTATTGTAACATACACATACACATACACATCTTTATTACTAATGGGTAAAGAAAATATGTCATCCCGACCAACATCTGACTTAATGGTAGCGGTTGCATATCCTAGTGACTCAAGGAGCTAAACTTGCTTAAACGAATGTCCTATGAAGTCCTACCATGTCAGAAATGTCCGTTGCATAGTGGTATGACGAAAAGCAGTTACTGTCATAAGATAAATAGCTTTCGATATAATGGGGGTCAAGGGATCAAGTTGATAACAATCATAAGCCTCTGAAGGATGACCAACAGTATCATGCTGATGCTGCCTTTCCTATGAAATGAGCGGTTTCGAGAAACATTTACTCCCAAAATAGCACACTCCTCTCCGACATAAGTTTTTCGAAACGTTTTAAAAGGCTAAATGTGACTTACTCCAAGCAGATGTCTTTTTGGCCCTGTGATTACACAAAATTAACATCTTTTTTCTTCCAGACACCTTACAGAAACAACTTTCATGATGTGAGAAGCCAGGTAATATATCAACCACAGATACTCTTCTAGCAACATAAAAAGCTTAACTAACCACAACCTTACAATCTATTGTCTACACGTCTTGGTATCAATACCAAGAACCACTGAATTTTCTAAATCTCTCACTCAGCAACTATTTTTAATGAACCGAGGTGGCAAAACATCAATCCCGATTCCCATAAACCCCATTTCCAACATCTTGCTGAAGCTTGTAATATCTTAGTCCTATGCTGAACATAACAACAGGCGTCTTTTGTCGTATTCTCGAAACTAGAGCCATGAATGTGTGGAATGTTTCTGAGATGCACATACAAGATCCAAGTTTGGTTATTCATTTGACACAGTTTATGTGGTATGTTTGCAATATTCACTGTACGAATGTCCAGAGATTCCGTGGCTAGCTACTGTGGACCCACTGATGTAGGTGTAGCAATAACGTTTTGATCAGAAAGTGAAGTTATGGAATGGCTACAACTTGATAGCCATCTGTGTGCTCTTCGACTGAATGGATCTGTAAGGACTGAGAAGGATTATGATAGTTGTTGGTGCCTATTCGTAATCTCCAGCTAGGTATTCATCGACTACAGTTTAGATGATACAAACTATGAGTTCTACGGAAAGCTGCTACGTCTGCTCGATAAAGCAAAACTTTCAGATTTAATCATGGTGGAAGGTGTCTTAATGTTCAAATAGGAAAGCAGTGACAGTCGTATAGGCTTCTTAGTAGTATCTAGAGTATTTCATGGAGGCGAAGCTTCAGCGATAACGTCTAGCTTGCAACTTTTTCCCCGAAATAGTTTGTTTCTGGTGAGCAAAGACGTCAGCAGCAACCTCATGTTACCTAACGTTGGCCGACTTTAGGCCAAGTTCTATTGAAGTTAGTGTTTAAACTCTGATCATGTGTTAATATAGGTACGTGTATATTTAGGTCTTAACTAATGCAGGAACCACAGCAGCGAGATCTTAGTGTGTTCAACTGGAACACAAAAGCGCCAAGGTGTATATTTAAAGAGGAAGCAGCTAATCACGACAACAATCGTCTTCTTGATAAAATTTGACAATAAGACCTCGTGTGATAGACACGAAAGGATCCTAGGGTTCATGGTTATTGAACGCCTAACTGGATTTTGAGAACAGCAAACTGAAGAAAGCCAGGCATGTTTCAGAATTGAACAAGGGTGCAATGATGGAGTGTTCTGTCTTTTATAAGTTTTGAAACATAGGTAAACTTACTGCTACCAGAATATCGTATTTGTTGGCTTGTTGGCTAAGTTTAACTCCATCTTCGAATGGAGTACCAAGCAAGTATGTAATATTAATAAAATCTTTCTACTTGAACTTACGTAGCCACTTAAGGGTTTATGCAGTGTTGACGTCTTTGTAATCACAGTCAGTGCTGTTCGTTAAGAGTAGCATTTCTCACCTTTTCTATTCATTTTTTTCTAAAGACATCCTAATGCACATACCTTGAGGTAACTTTAACTTCTTAGGTGGTTAGAATAAATTGATGGAAGGTCTTGCTTAATCTACAAATCATGCTCATCAGCCAGATTTATCTTTGACGTCAATAGTAGGGATGGTTCCTCGAAAATTCCAAGACTCATCGCCTAATATTATCACCACTGAGCTATTTGGCCTGCAATTGACCACCTGTATGATTATATTAGATATATCATTTAGTCATTGGATGGCGATTAATTTCATGTTATCTAATGCTTGGAGGTAAACAGAATTCCTTCGATCAGTTGGTGACGTGCTCACCAAACTAGGAGATTCAACACTGCTGACGAATGCTGACAAGTATGAAAACTAGGTCAAAAACTTTCGGTCGATTACCTTCAACAGTCTTAATCCAGTCAGATTGCACAACAGTCCTGAAACTCCCAGCAAAAGGATGAATTACTAAAATCCAGCCAGCACTCAGGGTTAAACAATGCGAAATTGGTACGAATATCCTTTAAAATATGATGTCTCTTATATCATCCCATCATTAAGTAGACCGAATTAACCGGTCTCTATTAGCATATAGGCTCATGCCTGGATGCCTCGATATTGCCTATGTTTTAACCATGTGTAGTAATGATGGATAGTGGCTAGCAGTGGAATCCACGACACGCGTTTCGCCATACTTAGGACTCATCAGCTGGGTGTACCTACCTCTTAGTGTGCGATATTGTTCCCGCTGAGACTCGAACCCGAGACCGATACCTTCAGACGTCAAAGCATTATCTCCTAGGCTACAGTGTCAAACTAGTCATTTCTTGTGTAACAAGCAACATCATATACACTAGACCTGTAGCACTAGAAGAGGATTCCGTGACTGATCCTGGGTTAGGGTCTTAGTGGAAACAACATCGCTGACTGAGAGCAGGCACATCCAGCTGACGATCCCTAGACAGGACGAAACGTGCATCCTGAATTCCAGTGCTAGACACTATCCATCTCCTTAGGAATGTATAATAACAGAAAGTTTGATATCAAGTTGGTATTCACCATGAAATGACATCATTTAGAGAACCACTAAACATCTGGGGGCACCGAGTGAATGGTCCATCCTTGTATAGGACTCCTCAACTTGCGATCCCAACACGGATCAAATACAGATCCTTCAGTTTTAATGATGATCGCATTACCAGTGACCCCCTTGGTCGGCAACCGAAGACATACCTCATCCTACCTCTGGTAATTAGCAATATGGAGCGACTTCCATTCAATAACATCGTTAAGTATTTGTCCTCAAGTTCAACTTAGTTTACTCAACTTGTCATGACCACTCGTTAGAGCTACTGGAGATCTCATTTTCAAGTGTATGACCAATGAGTACTGAATAGCAGTTCAGCCTGGTGGTTTGTAGGGACCTGATGTTTTTAAGAACCTCGCATAGTTAACTAGTTCACTAGTTACTAGCCGGTCCTAGGTCCGAGTAAAGAGGGAAGGCTGGGCATATGGCTCGTTAAATAAACTTCAAGCCACAAAGAAAATATCAAAAATAAAAACAGACTTATTCCTCACTGAAATCGGGAAGGCGGAATGACGCCAGTTGGTGAAAGCCTTCGGGAAGCCAGTAGGCCGATGTGTCTTCTCTCGATGAAAGCAAAAGTAAGTATGGAATGTACACACCATGTATTAACCTGGCAAAGTTGCCCAGATTGTAAAACAGATAAGAAGGTATCGCATTGAAGTACTAGGAATCTGCAAATGCAGATGGAATGGAAGCGGACTCTCCAAACTCTTAACTGCTGAGTCAATAATCTACTCCGATATTGTCATCTAGACGACAACCACGAGCACACTGAGTTTTCGAGTGTGCTATCATGATGTTCACAAGAGCATCAGGTAATGGGAACCAATCTCCTCCTCCAGGATCATAACAGCAAGATTCAATTCAAAAGGGAGGAAAGTCATTATCATACAATGTTACGCTACGCACCTATAAATATTGCAGGTGAAGAGAAGAAGGAGGAATTCTACAGATAACTGCAATCTACACTGGACAAGATGTGAGTTGGTGACATCAAAATTCTAATGGATGGGGTAACATGGATGCCGAAGTGGAAGCGGACAACACATCATGGGTTGAGAAGAATAACCGTATAAGGAAGGAAGAAGAAGCAAGACAAGACAAGGAATGGATCTCAACGAACACATCGAAGCTGATAGAGGAAAGAGAGGGAGATGGTGAGGCAGAAGATGAAGCAGTGCAGTGCAGTGTAGGGATGAACAACGATAAGAGGAACTGACTACAACCAACAAAACACTACACTTGACAAAGAAGTGAAGAAGAGTTCACGCAACGACAAAAGACACTTCTACCACACACTTGCAACTAAAGCAGAACAGGCTACTGGCAGGAGAGACTCGACAACATTATATCAAATAACCAGGTTAGTATCTGGGAGGGAAGAGATCCTCACAGATGAAACCA